CTTATTATATTATATATTATTTTGTTAAAAATGTAGATAATTTATACACAAATATTTCAAAGTTATATCATTAATTCCAAAAATATCTTCAATGAAATTAGATGGGTTTAAATGAAATTCATCATCAACTCCGCTCCGACTTGGTTGAACATATGTGGTCAAATCGAGATTACGAGTGATCTATATTAATATATATTATTTAGTGTTACTTTTTATAAAGATCGACATTTGTGCAATATTGTACCTTTTTTTTGTTGTAGTATGTGTTTATGTTTTAATTGTTTTTCGAATATGTTAACTTAATATATAAATTAACAAATTATAATTAATATAGAAAAGTGAAAATTAATATAGATTAACTATATGCATCAATCTATAAATAAAATTACATTCTATAAATTAAAAAAAATAGAAAGTGGTGTTTTTGTAAGAACCTCTATTGTGTAGTTTTATTGTGATTTTTACTTTGTTAAGGTGACAATAATGTGACAGGAAAAATATGACAAGTGAGTTTATTAGAAGTTACATCACTCTGGATACTCTAAGAACCCAAATGCTTGAACAAGAATCTGGGTTCTTTTCTGCATTTCTTTTTTATTACTGTTATTGGTTTTTAACCATTTTATTTTAATAAATCAATGAAAAATATAAGTTAAAATTGATATAAAAAATATAAATTAATTAACATAAATATATTTATTAATTTTGCTTTGTTTTTATCTTACATTCCACAATATTCTCAAAAAATTTCATATGATGCTCAATCTCTAACTTTTAATCCTCGTTCTTCATATTAACAAATTAAAGTTAATATAAAAAAATGAAAACTAATAAATTATATTTGAACTTTTTAAAATAATTTTATAATAGATATAAATATGTTTATATTAAATTTATATAATAATCTATAAATAAAATTACATTTTATAAATAAAAAATGAAAAGTGAAGTTTTTGTAAGAATCTTCATCATGGAGTTTTATTTAGGTTCTTATTTTGTTGATATGACAATGATGTGGTAGGAAAAAAATTATGGAAAATAGGGTTCTTGGAGGCTCCATCACTGTGGATGCTCTAAAATTACAATTTTTTTTCTATACAGTTTGCAAATTACATATTACAGATTGTTTTTATGTATAACGATCTAACCTTCACATATTCGGATCTACGGGACTTTTTCGTATGGCCTTCATTTTGCTGACCAGCAGGCAGGACAGGTTACCGAGAGTTATGGCATGAGATAAGACCGTGAATATCATTTGAAAAAATGCTATGGAATTCCTTCCTGTCGAGCAGGTAAATTTTAATTTGTTTCTTTCAATTATGTTTTATACAATTGTGATTACGTATGGGAGCAACTAGTTTTTCAATTCTTTTCGGTGTAAGATCAACTTTCAGTTTTGGAGTTGATCTCTGAATGAGTCCAGAGATCTTTTTACCAGAGGTTGAAAGTTGGCAAGCTGAAGGTTTAGAAGAAGCCTTCTTCAACTTTTGGTTTTTCTTGGCTTTTTAAGGAATGTTAGCAATAGTTTTACCTTTGTTTAAGCATTTTGAAGATTATGGAGTGCCTTCAAGAATGGGTTTAGACTCAGATGTAGAGCAACACTTAGTGGAAGAGGTGTATGGAGGAAACAGAAGTTCCAAACTTTAACATGGATTTGTCATTGACATGGTCTTCTTGGTCTGAATAGTATCCGAGACAACTCTTAACTTTTGCGGGTATCTGAGCATTTATGACCTTATTGGTATTAATGGAGGCTTTACACCATCCTTCAATGGTATCCTTTTCAGCTTTGAGTTCAACAATAGCTTGTTCACGCTCAGTGATAGCTTGCTTACATTCAATATCGATTGTTTGGTTTACAATGACTTGATCCTTAAGATTTTCTTCAATCTTAATAAGTTCTTTGATTTTTGAATGGCATTTTTCAAGTTGTTCTTGTAAATCAATATTTAGCTTTTTCCAGCTTCGAATTTACAGTTCAGTGCATTATAAAGGTCTACAGTTAGTGTATCCAACACAGAGACTATCCGTACCAAAGATTGAAGGATCATTCAGATTTAATACCTGAGTTGAGGTTGTAGGATCATTTGAGGAGGATGTGATAACCAGGTTCGGTTATATAACTTGGGGTGGTTTGAAAGAATTTGGTGAGTAAATTAATAATGTTTATGTGATTATATTTTTTAAGCAATCAACTATGATATATATATATATATATATATATATATATATATATAGGGTATATTTCTTTTACAACCTCCCCTATTTGTACAACCCTTGCAACCTCCTTTTTAACCAATCAATGAATACTATTTTTTTTAATTTATTTTTTAAATGAAAAGGTTAATATTGTCATTTGCTAATTTTATATAATAATAATTATTTTTAAATAAGATCAATAAATATCTTATTAATTATGAAACCATCTAATTACTATTAATAAACTGAAACTGATATGGTAATTAAAACCTTACTAAATAATAGACAATATACAAAATGGATGGAATCGATAGAAGCATATTGTTGTAGAATAATTTATCATACTCCTATGGATCCCATCTCCTTCAATGAGACATTCGTCAAGGATATCTTTGATGAAATTGGTGGCATTAACGGTAAACGTAAAGGTTTTGATCTTGATCGTGAAATTGCAACTGCAACTAATGATGGTACAACACAAGATAAATGCAATTACTCAGCTAGGGATGAGGATGGGTGCATTCGTCAAAATGAAACAATACCTGAGCGTAGTGACTCGATTACGGGCAGAGTTTCTGCAGAGTTTGACGATGATGATGTTGCGTCCTTGAGTAATGAATCTGAAGGTACTGTTTTGTTCTCGTAACTATAGTAAGAACTGCAAACTTGTAATGAAACCCCAAAAGACATCACAGAGTTTGTTGATTGCTGTCCTAGCATTATGAATCGTCCATGAACACCATAGTCTGCACTTGGATCAACTGTTGGGAGAAGGAGGGTGGCCTATAATGAAACCAGATTTTGCAGGTTATACAACCAGTTATGGATTAATCTAGAAAGAGCTAATCTCAAAACAAACAAAGATTAACAAATATCAACTTAATGAAATCCAATTAAAAAAAATTCTAAGTTTATGTCATTATCTATTCATTATTGTTGATTTTCGGGAGGGAAATGAACATTATGGTAGGAATATATGTTCTACTTCACTAACTAGTGCAATGTGTCGAGTCATCTGCTTCTTCGACTGTAAGAACTGGGCCAACAACTTGAGCTGCAGCTGGTTTCATTACACTTTATACATATTAGTAGGTACAATGAACAAGCTAAGATGCATATGGTTTTAATTCAATGAACAAGCTAAGATGCATCTGGTTTCATTATAGTCTGATAAAGGATACTGATGAAACCAATTTCATCTTCGTCTAAAATAACAAAGATTTCAACAATGCAACAATGTAACCAGAGACAGGGGTTATATGGAGTGGGCAGTTTGTATGCTCTTTTAACCATGCTTCTAGGCACTCAACATGATACCCATGACCACACCTTTCTAACATGGCTAACCGTTCACCCAAGACCACCTCGCATAAGCACACGATGCAGTCGGTTCGAGAGGAGTTAACGGTGAGTTCCTTGACTGTCATGTTATGGTGTGCATGAGGATTAATGGATGAATGTTTTAGCAACTAAGACTTGACATAGGCAGCTATCATAACCATCATCATCATCATCATCTTTAAAATGTAACCAATGAAATTAGATTCATTAGCAACTAATTTTATTAATACACTATATGTCAGTATGTCAAAGTATGATTACAATAGCACATAGGTATACGTGACTGTTATGTTTAATTATGTAGACTTCATATTATGATATGCACTAATTAGTAATTATTAAAACGGATGGTGGACGTATCATACGGGTTTGGTTAAAAGTACAGCAGTCTTCAAACTTTTTACATTATATCTAGTTATTTGTCGCATTAAATAGGAGTTGGTTTCACCACATCGATCATGAGAAAAAGCCAATAATCATCACCTAATTGTCATCCTACCAGCATTGCATATATCTAATTTTGTTTTTGTGGGCATTATCAATCATATCATTGTTATGTGAGGAAACCTTGTTCACAATGCATCTTATGTAGGCATAGCATGAGTATCCATTATGTAGAATCATCTAACAATGAGTATGAAGAATATTGACATTGAAGAATGATGATGAAACCAGTTTCACAATGCAGTATGTTTTCATTGGCCTGTCCTTTGCCCTCAACATGTAGCCACTCTATTTGGTTCAAACTCAAAAGCAGATTAACATGATGTTATTTGTTACTTACATTATGTCTTTTGCCCACATATTCATCAAATTATAATCATGTTGTTGTCTTACTGTTTTGAATCTAAATGCGGCTTTAAGATACAAATGCATTAATATAAGATTCATCTTGGAGTACATATGTACTAAATATGTAGCGAAGACAAATACTGGTCATTCTTTATGCGTTTTTTATTACTGAAAAACAACTTGTTTTGGTTATTGTTGTAGATTATCGATATCAAGACATGGGGGAAACGTCTGATGGGTCGAAATATTGGTTTCCTAGTGTAGACGTAAAATACAAACCTAAGGTTGGTGATTCTTTTGAGTCTGTAGAATCGGCTGAGAAAATGTATCGGAAATATGCCAATGAAGCTGGGTTTGATATACGTTTATCTAACAAGAAGATAAATAAGCTTGGTCGTATCACGTCTCGATTTTATGTGTGTAGTAAGGAAGGGAGGCCACAAAGTAAGTATTTTGATTCCTTAGATGTTCTTCCAAGTGGTCGTACATTCCGAAATTCAAATATCAAGCGTTCCGGTTGTGGAGCATGTTTAAAAATTCACTTTGTTAAAGAACCGAATCAATACGAAGTTTACAAGTTTGTTGAGCAGCACAATCACATCCTTTTTAATAAAGAGGAGATGAGGTTTTCACGTTTTAAAAGGAAACTCCACTACGCTGATCATAAGAATGTATTTCATGGTTCTAGCTCCAAGGTTGGCGTCACCAAATCTCATAGATTCATGAATGCCGTTAAGGGTGGTGTAGATTCATCGGGTGGCACTGTAAGAGATCATCAAAACTTCAAACGCGATATGGCATATTTTGTTGGCAATACAGACGCACAAATGTTATTAAATGTGATGGCTAATAGGAGGAAGGTTTGTCCTGAGTTTTTTTTTCGAGTACAAGTGTGATGACAAGGAGTTGTTAGCAATTTTTTGGGCTGATGAGACTGCACGATCACATTATAGGGAATTTGGCGATGCAATCTCATTTGATGCAACGTTTCGGACCAACAAGTAAGTTGTACTTGATATTAAACTATTATGTTGGTTTTATCAATACTCTATCTTATTCCTTGTATTTATTTTCATTGTTTATTTTTGATAGGCATGTTATGATATTTGTTCTGTTTGTTGCAATTGACAATCATAAGAAATCCGTTGTTGTTCGAGCTGCATTGATTCATAATGAATCTGTAGTTGATTACACTTGGGTATTAAAAGCGTTTGTAAAAGCACATGGACGTCAACCATGTTTCGTTATCACCGACCAATGTGCGTTGATGAAACAAGCAATTCCCATTGCATTTCCTGAATCCAGGCATAGATTGTGTATGTGGCATATCACTAAAAAGGTGAAATCAAAGGTAATTAAGATGATAGTTTTTTTGTAGTAATTTTTTTGTTCATTTTCATTTTTAATGCAATTGTTTTGATGGTTTACTTGGCAGATTAGTAATTACCTCCAACACCGTACGTAGTTCGTTAGCGAATTTAATAAGTTGGTGTGGAACGTTCACCTTGGTCCTAATGAATTTGAGATGCAATGGAACAATCTGATCGAATTTTATGGATTACGTGGAGATCCATGGTTGGATGAATTGTACGATATTAGGGAGTCGTGGATTCCGGCTTACTATAAGGATTATCATATGTCAGGCCTAATGAAAACAGCATCCAGGTCGGAGAGTATCAATGCGTTTTTTAACGTTTATGCACATTTTTGGCATGATCTTGTTGTTTTCCTACGTTCTTTTGATAATGCAATTGAAAGTCAACGGGCAACACATGGGTCGCTAGAGGTGACAATCAAGAGCACGATTCCTCGATTGGTGTCCCCTTGCAAGTTAGAAGCACATGCAGCAGAGGCGTATACACGGACGATATTTTTCGAAGTTCAGAAAGAGTTAAGAAAGGCTGTTTGGCTTTGTGGCTAGGATGGAATCACCGACGTTGGTGAAACTAGAGTGTACACCATTACTCACAAGAACAAGGCTTCGAAGTTCACAACAAAGTACACGATATTTACTTTGTCCAATTTCGTTTTGCGCCCCTTATTGTACAATATTATTTTAACGAACAATATGATTTGGTCCTCCCATATAATAGGTGATTAAGAACAAGATGGAAAACTCCTACGATTGCAGTTGTAATTGTTTTGTTCGTAATGGGATTTTATGTCGTCATACTCTCAAGGTGATGTTAAATGACGAGGTTGACAGAATTCCCGATAAATATATACTTCTTCGTTGGTGACGCAATCTAGTTCCCGTGGAGTGGTTACCAACCCGTTCCAGATATGGTGAAGTTGATGCAGAGAAAGAGAGATTGATGAGTGTGGCTTATTGATATTTTGAACGTATTTTAGGTCGAATCCGAAATGAAAAAGACATTTTGTCAAGATTTGTTGACCAACTCGAACAATGGGATTCAAAGGTTGACAGTGAACTTCATTTACAGTCACACACTGAAGAGACCACAACGTCTATTAAAGAGTTTCTTGGAGTATCTCAACCCGAAACTGTTGATGTTCTTCCTCCCACCGGTATTCGAAACAAAGGTTGTGGAACTGGTAAGAGACTTATTAACGCTGCAGAGAAAGCAATTTCAAACGGAAAAAGCAGAAGAGAAAGTGTCGCCTATGTCGTCAAATGGCTACACATGATTCCCGAAATTGTCTGAAGCGTGATTCCATTTAAGTTATCTTTTTGATTTTTTCGTATCATTTAATTTTGAGATGTTATTGGATTGTATTGATGGATTTTAGTTCACTTTGATTACAATGTTTAAACTGGTCATTCTGACATTTGTTACTTGCATTTTTTATATGACAACCTTATGGATTATAATGCCTTTGTGAACATGGGTGCATCCATTATGGATTATAATGAATTTGAAATTTTGTTTCTACTTAATTTATATTTCCGAATTTGTCTTATCAATTAATTTTGAGATGTTATTTGGCTATATTGTTGAGATTTAAGTCACTGGATTATATTGTTGTCGTATCACTAAATTTCATTCACCTATGTGTGTCTAGATTCATGATAAACTAATGGCTATGTATAAAATGTACTGATGAAACCATGTTTATCACCTTAAATATGATTCTAAGTTCATTGGTAAACTTTATGTCATCATGTGAAGGCATATAAAATGTACTGATGAAACCAGGTTCATCAGCTCATATATGAATCTAAGTTCATTAGTAAACTTTATGGCATCATGTAAGGGCATATAAAATGTACTGATGAAACCAGGTGCATCAAAGTAAAAGTATATGCGAATCTAATTTCATTAATACACTATATGTCAGTATGTCAAAACTTATGTAGTGTACTGATGGAACTAGGTTCATCAATTAGATTATGCGGGCGTTGACCTACATAAGGAACATGATTGAGGAGATCGATAAACTAAATGAATTGTCCTGCCATATGATGGAATGTAATAGTAAACTTACTTGTTCAAGAAAACAGTTACGGCATAGACTATATGTATGGCATAGAATCCGTCACCTACGAAAGATTACAGATCATTTTATAATTTCCCTGCAGTAAAAATGACATATTAAGTACTAATCTTAATGTATTAAAAATAAGTAATCAAGTTATCAACTTATACTTGCCTGAACAATCTTTTCAGGATAATCAACTATTCATCCATTCTTTATAATAGACTGACAAAACGAGAACAAAACTTCGTATCAGTATCTTATTTGATATACTTAACTATATGAATCAATGTACATCAACTTGAGTACCTGATAGATCTTTCTGGTGGTGATATTGTTATAACTTGTGAATCTGGTGTCATCGAAATATTTTACTTTAATGAAAAAAGCTCATAATAATAGACTGATCAACGTCTAACAATTTGTCAAACCATGAACTCAAATATTGTACATCCTCATCAAAACCACAATTGTCAATACCTGATGTTATTCTATGTGATTGTCAACAAAAAAAAGCAAACACAATCTTTAAACAAATTGATATATGATATAAAAGTGACGAACACATGCCGTGAATAGGCAAGTATAATGTACGGTGTTATGAACACAATATAATCATCAAATTTCATATGCACCCCGTCATGTTGAAATGCCAAAAGGAGAATGTTTAAACAAACTAGAAAATTCAGTACTAGATGTAAGTTCTTAAACACGTCTACATGAAAATTCAGATTTGCAGTCTCTCTACCCTTGTATTGTGAGCTCACTTCCTTATCTTACCATGGACGACTTCATCGATAGAATTGAACTTTTCAACTTCTTTAATTATGTAATCCTTCTTGACGTTATAGCTGTTCATCAATATCTTTGCTACATATTTCATTCTCAGGTTTGCGATTTGATTCTCTTGAATTTTACTTTCGGGTGCCAATCCAATCTTCCATGATTTCATATCTCCCATGTATGTTTCCATATGTCTCATTGTGAACACACCACAATCATCAAAGTTATTTTTTGTCTGCCAGTCCAATCTCAATCTTTCTTGACCAGTTTCATCCAATTCTTTACCTGCTGCATGTCCTACTGCATTCAAATGTCTGATCATCAACCTTTGCTGCATAAACAGGAAGAAATGCTTAGCTCATCTTCTTCAAACTTAATGGAGAATGCAGTTATAAGKTAGTATTTGATTCATACCAGGATATCCGTTATGAAATCATACATTTGTAGAAGGTGGTCGTCATCGGACACTTCTCTATATCTGTTGTCTATGACCACAATTGATGGATTCTTCAAATTGAACACCACAAGATAGTAATGTCCCTTATCAAGCAATGGGAAGAATACCTATTATTTGATCATGTTGTCAAAGTAAAATTCGGGTGAATTCATATTGAATATAATTAACTGAAAACTAGATTCATCCAAAAGATAGACTTGTGAAATTAGATTCATAATACACATGATTATTTGAAATAAGATTCATTATAAACATAAACTAAATGAACCTTATATTAATGCAATCGTATTAAAATATACGACTGTTTACATAATCAAGACATCTAGAAAAAAAACAGCAATTAGATTCGCATATTTGCAATAGTGTATCAGATTCATTGATACGTTTGACTAAGTACATATTGAATATGGTAGCAAAATACAGCAATTAGAATCTGAAATTGAAAAACATACCAGGTCTACGTTATGCATTTGTACTACTTCCCAGTTCTTTTTCGCAGAAGATAACAAACCCTTTTTGAAAAGTGCGTATTGGGTATTATGATTGACGCTCTTAGATCTTAGCTTAGTGTATCCCTGTCATAAGCAACAATGTATCTATGGTTTATATTGATGAAGCTGTTAGACAAGGAAAAAAATGCTATTTAAAATATTTTCCTTCTCACGTACCATAACTTCCATGTTAAAAAAATAATGACGCAAGGAATCCCTATTCCGATACCGTTCCTCGTAGTTAAGCAATGTCGCCCATGCGTCTATCACACTTACGTAAATTGTAGTTGTACGCCCCAAGCTAATTGCATGCCGATGTAGCTTTGTATCGTTTGGTGTTGAAAACAACAACTCGCTGCATTTAAAACCGTCGAAATGATAAATAAAATATGAAGACGGATGACATGGTGGTAATAATTGGACAAAGAAATTTTCATATAATAATAAACTTACTACTTTCCTCCAAGCCCAGCAACTACCCATTCATGTATTTTTCTTTTTTCTGGCGTCACGTTCAGGTCAACTGCTCTAATAACAAAAGGGGACCTGAGATGGTCACCCAACTTTAGTTCACGTCTTGTCGCTCGCTCCACTTGATATTTCTTTGCATCTTCGGATACATTACATCTTTCCACCGAAGGACATCTTTCTATACATTCAGCCTCTTCATGCAATACCATTGACAAAGGTTCCGATTGCTTCATTAGACTAATAGCCAAATCAAACTTTGGAGGAGTAATGGCTGCATATGGTCTTTTCATCTTTGACGTTGATATAGTATTTTCGACTACTTTATCAACTACTTCAATGAAACCAGGGCTTAACCAAACCGTGGGCAGTGGTTTTTCATTGAACCCACTTGGCTGACTTACAACAATATCCAATGAAGGATGTCCATCATTTTTGCACTTGAATGATCCTTCAATCCACTGGAATGAGTGTCATGTGTCGTGTTACATGCTCCTTCATTGAACATTTCATCCAGCTGTTTCTTGTATTGCTTGAATTCTTCTTCATCTGGAAACTTGGACATCGCTTCTTTAATTTCCATCTCAGCCTCCACTCTTGCACTTAAAACAACAGCGATCTTAATAAGTATTCGTTGAACATGATCCTGCATTTATTGACATTTAAATGTATTAGAAAGTGCATAACTTAAATAAGTCTTATATATTGTTGCAAGCTGATGAAGCCAGATTCATCACTGTGTGTTAATTGAAACATGATTCAGTAAATCACTGTGTGTTAAATGAAACATGATACGGTGTGTTAAATGAAACATGATTCGGTAAAATCAAACCCTTTATAAGATGTGTGCCTATGTCAAACATGTGTGCCTAAGTTAATATGTGCACTAGATACTGTGTTCCTTATGCGTAGTGCAATTCTGTGTATGCCAAGTTTTTCTGCATTTTATAAGATGTATAATGCATTGATTTCTGGATTTCAGTAGCCTATATATTTCTAATAATTGAACTCGATGCAATTCAAGTACATGTACTAATAGATTTGAATTTTCTTCTTTGGATTTAAGCTTGACTTTCGGTCGTATGTACACGATAATAAGCAGTTTCATGAAAATATAATACATAAATCGAACCTCTTTGCTCAGATGTGTCGGTGTTGATGTTTCACCGATATTCTCTTGATTTGAAGCGTAACGGTGATGAACTTCTTCACTTGATTCAGCGTTAGATCATAGAGGTAATAGCCCGAACCCTCCGTCTTTAATATCTGTTGATTGTCTTTTCTTTAACAAATCAAGGTTCCATGCTGAGATTGCATGGCCCTTGTGCTCCACCACAACTTTTGGACTTATCGTCGCTTCCACATATAACAACTGGAAATGAAATATTGGGTTTGTTATGTAAAGATTTTTTGTAGTTTTATATTTAGAGAAAAACTTACAGCGAGGTATGTCAACGGTCCAGCATAGAAGCACATTCTACCACCCCTTCTCCATCTTGACTTGCTTTTTTTATCTTCCCATAGATGTACTTACACCAATCTATTTATGGAATTACGTCCTCACTTTCTATTCTAGAGACGAACAAAATTGCAGCATCCCATCCTATTACATTCAACCATCAGATTCACGAATAGAATAAGAAAATTCAGTTTGAAGTTGAACCCTGCATCTCCTGAACTTTGTATTATCTTCATAATGTCTTTCGGCCGCATCTTTTTCTTATCAAACTGTTTCCTCCAGTTAGCTGTCATATTTTTTGAATCCTCCACTTAATCCATCTCCAGAATATCAACTCCTCCCATTCTCAAACCCAACAATTTACGGATTGATTCAATTGTGATTGGTATTCCACCATTCACAACCTTCAACTCCATCTTTTTCACGTCAAGGTTGTTGTTGATCCTCTCTCTCAGTGATTTGATGATAATCCTTTTTCACCTATACGTTGTACTTATGTTTCTGTATTTTCAGTTCCAGCGATCTTTACTGAGTATGTTCAGTGATCGCTGAAGAACTTGCATTGTAAATCTATCAGAGATAGCAATACTTCAAGAAGACAACACTCACACCAAAGAACCTTCA